ATCTTAGCTGTGGAGGGCAGTGTCACTGGCCCTCCTATGTGGGATCCGAACCGGGGCCCTCTGGCGTCCCAAGCCAGTTCTTAACCATCGCGCCACTCGGCTGGCCCAAAAGTGTTAATTTTTATAAACTAATGGCACTTGAATTTACTTTACCAAATTTTTTATTGGTTCTCTTTTCAGTTGATTCTCTTGGATTTGTAGGCAATTATTACAGTAATAAACTTGCAGTGTATGTCCAGCAACTTGCCTTACATACATACTTGAATGTTTTTGTCAGTATGAAATATCCCTTATGAAAAATCTCATTTTGTCCTTTTCCTTGAATTCCTACGCAAAATTGTTGCAAATCTTATTTCCTATTTGGGTGTGTATTGTTAGAAACCACTCAGTGCTACTGTGGTTCATTTTCTCATTTTTGTCTGAGATGTTTTTTATAAGCTGTTGATTATAGTTTTTTTAAAACTTTTAGTTTTTTAAATCTTACTTGCAAATGTTAATTTTTAATAGGGATATGTTTGTTGACATAACAACTATTACATTTAATTTTATTGTTTCTTGTTTCCTTTGTTTTCCTTTTCCTTTTCTCCTTTTTCATGTTTTGGAAGACATATATGCTGTTTTAAAAGTCTAGTGTTTTAGCAACCTTTGAATATATTCTTGTCTCAGTATCAAAAGTACAGAATGAAACAATATATTTTAAAAATTCTGTTCCTTTCCACCCTTTTTCCTCATTTGGGGGATTTAAGAAACTTTACTTCCCTTGCCTTCAAATTTTTTGGACTTGGTTAATATAACCTGGAGTTTATAATCAGGTTATTGTTATTAAATTACATTTAACAATATACAGTAAAACCTTGGATTGTGAGTAACGTGGTTTGCGAGTGTTCAGCAATATGAGCAAATATTTCTAATACATTTTAACGTGGTAAACGAGCGATGTCTTGCAATACGAGTAGTTTGTTTCCAGAATGAATAATGCTCGCAAACCAAGGTATTACTGTACATTATCTCTTCCAAGGATAATTTTTGACATTTGCAACATATCTGCAATAAAATTATTTTGAGTAGGGCTTATGGATGGCATATTTTCTGAATCTTTACATTTTTGAGTATCATTTCTTAGTTTCATATACTTGTCTGGGTATAAAATTCTCAGACAATTCAGGAGAATTTGCTCAAGATTCTATCTATTTCCCCATTATTTGTTTTCTGGAACCCAGACTGATGTTTATTCCTTTGTACATAACTAGGTGTTTGTTGTGTTGTTTTCCTTTGTCAGTAGACTTTGTTTAATATCCTGTCATTCAAAGTATTTGCCATGAATTTGTCCGGAATGCAACATGTACTTTCAGTCTCCAGTTGCGCCAGTCATTTTGGTTCTAATTTGTTCTGATTTTTTTCCCTACATTTCTTAAGGGATTTTAATTTTCTGTCCTCCAGTATCTTACTTTTTTTCTTTCTTAAAAAAAAATAAATGTCCCTACTTCTGTCTTCTTGCCAAGTTTCTCAGTTTTATCGTCCACATTCCTTGTTCACTTGTTCCCGGGCTAATACAACTCTGCTCTTTACTGCTTATTCTATGGGTTTCACTTCTGCTTGTTACACGTTTTCAGTTTTCCTGCAGTTCTACTTTATCCCACTCATCCGGTTTTAGCTTCCTCTCTCTCTGCTCCTATTCAAATAGAGATGACTCCTTACTGAGAGTTTTCTTCTGGATGTTGCAGATGGCCTTTGAAAGAGTCTTCAGATGGTTCTTCTCCTTTGTTCTGTGGTATTTTGCCATGCCCCCATGTTGTTTTGTAACCAATGGACACATCCTCAAAGGAGGTGATACCTAACTAGACACATGGATTCCATCAGCCCCACACACGAGCCACGCAGGTGACAAGGTGTACAACTGAGGGCAGTTTTGAGGGTGCCCAAGCTCCCAGTACCTCCCACCTTCTCTCAGACAACAGTGGGGTGTTGATTTGCATTTCCCTAATAACTAGTGATATTGAACAGCTTTTCATTTATCTGTTGGTCATCTGTATCTCTTCCTTGGAAAAATGTCTATTGCGATCCTCTGACAATTTTTTAGTTGGATTGTTTAGGTTTTATTGTTGTTGTTGAGTTGTATGGATTCTTTATATATTTTGCATATTAGCCCCTTACTGGAGGTATCATTTGTGAATATCTTCCCCCGTTTGGTTGTCTTTTTGCTTTGTTGATGGGTTGTTTTTTGTTTGTTTGTTGCGCAGAAACCTTTTAGTTTGATGTAGTTTCATTCATTTCTTTGGGGGAAAGGAGGGCAAATTGGGTAAACAGAGTTGAATACACAGTAATGGAAGGAAACTAGACTTTGGGTGGTGAGCATGCCATAGAGATATCAAATTACAATATTGTATACCTGAAATTTATGTTATTAACCAGTGTTATCTCAATAAATATACAAAATGGGGTGGATCTGCCTTCTAGAGGTGGAAGCTTCTATGCCTACAGCGCTCCCAAAACTATGGAAATGTGGACTAATAAAAACAGAAACAAACAAGAACAAACTCACGTGCACCCCAGTAACGGTCCTTCCTATTTCTGCCTCATTTTGTAGAGACTACACCCACTGGGACTCACACCCGGTGTTGGCACCACTGCCTCTCCTCTTCTGCCTGGCCGTCTTCCAGAATGTGCAGTAATTGAATAGGTATGGCAGGGTGGAGAGAAGAAAACAGTATTCCTGGCCACTTCAAAGGGCAATTGGGTCAAGTAGACGATTAAGACATGTAAGGAAAGTCCCCTAATTAAAATAGTACTCTTTCAGTCTCTACAGTGACAAGATCATTTCCAGGTGAGGAGAATGGCTGGGTCTCACATCCTCAATTTTTGTTTCCTAAAATCACTTTCACCTTGGGAATTGATTCATCCCTTTATGCATTCACTCAACAAGTATGAATCTCAGTCAGCTCTCCTGTCACCACTGTGCTGTCATCCACGGGCTCACAGTGACGATTCCTCCTTTAATTCCCACAGCTGAAACCAGGTTCAAGAGAGCAAACAGAATTAAAGCAAGGAGTAACCAAGGGGCACAAGTTTGCAGCACCAAGACCGCCTCATTGGGACCCAAAAGTCCAACATCAGAGCCTCTGTAGCATCTGGTCCATAGAGAACAGTTAGAGGAGAGACAGAGGGAGGGACAAAGTCACTTGTGATGTCTCTTGGGTGGGTGTTTGAAGAGGCAAAGTCTGAGAGGGTGCCAAAAATCCAGCTCCACTGGCTATAGAATCAGGTGGCATTCCTCCTAATTTCTGCCCACAGGTTGGTCATCCATCACTTCTTGATGACGTGAGTTTTCACCTTTTGTTCGTCTTCAGTGATGTTGGGAGCACTGTGCCAGGGGTTGCAATGAAACTGGAGTCACTGAACTGTTTTCCATCCTCATTTTACCTGACTTTCTGGGTCTTTTAACACTGTTGCTCATCCCCTTCTACCTTCATGTTGTTTTGTTTTGCTTTTGTCATAGCACCTTCCCTTGGCTCTGCTTCCACTTCACTATTCACACCTCATGTCTTTCACCTGGAATCCTTGGCCCAGGTATCCTGCTCAGCAGGACCCTGCCCCTGCCTCCTTTTATTTTATACAATCTCCATGTGGGAATGCAGACTCCAGAGCCTTCAATAAGACAACCCTGCCAACGCCTCCTGACTCTATCTCATCCATATCCTGAGGTACAGCCTGTATCTAACGGTCCTCTCTACACTTCACAATGTCACAATGCCCCCCCACACACACACACATAACACTAAACCCAAATGGTGTCCAGTCCACACCTCAGTGACTAGCATACCACTCAAGCCAGACACCTGGCTGCCACTGGACTCCTGACTTCCCTCACCTAGAACATTCCTCCATGAGGCTTCCTGGCCATTCTATTACCTCCAGTATTTCTAACACCCATTTCTCCTCGTTATCCCTACTTCCTTAGTTCAGGCCCTCACAAGCTGAACTGCCTCAGTTATGCCTCATTTACTGCTGCGAACCCCAGAAGGCGTTTTGGGACTGAAAGATGGTAACTCCAGGCCTGGGATTGAGGTCTGGCTCTGCTGTAGATTTCTCACGTGACCTCGGACAAGTCTCCTGGTCTCTTGAGCCTATCTCACACGGTGGTCAGGCGGTAGAGGGGATTAAAATGAGGGCACGTTGTGGAATGTTTTGTAAGTAAACAAAGGAGTTTCACAGGCTGGTATAGTTATTGAAGGACCCCTTTAGCCTATAGCTGAGATAAAGGGGGAGGCGTAAGGGCCATGCCCTGTGGGAGGCACTGTTCATGTACCGCCTCCCTCAATCTTCAGGGCTCCATCTTGCCACCTCTCCAAAGTGCGGGGAAGGATCCCAGGCGCCTGTCCCTGGGGGAGGGCTGAAATGGAGCCTGACTACCCAGACCCTCCGGCTGGTCTCCATGTGCCTTTATGTTCCTCCTGGGTCCACATTGTTCCCAGACTGTCTGTTCTCAGAAATACATTATGCAAATCCCGGCTAGCCCAGTATCCATAGAAACCAAAATCTCCCATCTTCCTCAGCCTGTTCCCTAGCAAAAGAAACCCACCCAAGTGACACCCACAAACAAGGACAACGAGCATCCAGAGCAGGGGGAGCATCCCTCCACCCCATGATGTCAGATTTTAACAGTCATTGAATCCATCCTGCCTTGTCCTCCCACTGCCGCTGAAAAGGAATGGGTGGCACAGGACAGTGCATGAAGCTGCATTTTCTTATTGAAACCTTGAAGGGAGATGCTACAGCCCCCACCACGAACAGCCCTCTTTAGCCTAATCCAAATAGCTCTGCTGCCGTTGAGATCATATTCATGGTGGACGTGAGTCACTATTTGACATCATCTGTAACCGGGCACATACAAACACGAGCCATCACTGGAATGTGACAATACGATTTTATTATGCATGACTGATTACTAATTTTAGGAACAATTTTTCAAGACGTGCTCTTCTCTAGAATAATCTATACTTCAGACAGTATGACTCTTTAGTCTTTTTTGTCCAGGCTCAAAACACAAGGCAAAGCTCCTGGTGCCACACCCAGTTTCTTGAATATTGGTCAGCAAAAGTCCCTGCTGTGTGCAAGACACTAGGCTTTTACTAGGGACACAAACTGTGGATCACAGGAGGTTAGAATTAGAAAAGACCTCGAAAAAAATATACAAGTGTCCTAGCTTCCCTGATTACAGAAGAGAAGTTGAATGGCTTTATTTAAAGTCTCACAGCTATTTAGTAGCAGAGCCAGGTTAAACAAATAGTAGACTCTCAACTGCTAAGTATGAGCCAGACTCTATCCTGTTTCACATATTTGTGCATTTAGCCTCATAACCACCTTAGGAGGTAGGTTATCTTCATTAATCGTAAGGTATCAGTATTTCCATTTTTCACGTGATGAAACTAAGGCACTGAGAGGCTAAGTAACTCTCCCAAGGTCACACAGTGCTTGAGTCAGAGTCTGAACCCTGCTTGTCCAATCCCATATCCTAACTGCTTAACCACTAGGCTATTTAGTCACTAGATACCTTTGTGAGGACTGAGGTTTTAAGAATCTCTGTTGAGGTCTCAGGTTTATCTTCTAATGTCAGGAACAACTAAATTCCACTTAGTTTTTTTCCCCGTTTTAAAACCCTTGGGTGAAATATTTCAACAAGAACAAAAAGCTAAATCCATCAGTTGGATTGCATGAAAACATCCAGGACAAACCTCCCCCCTGAGGGGAGGAAATTATTTTAATAACATCCTTTGTTTTTTCTCTTCTTGTTGGGTTGCTTAGGGATACAGATCAAGAGTATCTGCTTTTCAATGATAGTATATTGGCAGAACCAGACACGCTCATAAACAGAATATTGCTGTGTATAGAACATCTCTGGATGGATTTTTTTTTTTAATGGTAATGTAATTGTCCAAAAGGAGGAGAGCTGAGTGTTTGGGCAAAAGTGGGAGACTCTCCTAGTACTCTCTATATCTTTGAAAATGGATTACCTAATCAAACAATACACACAAATTAGAAACAAGATCCTGCTTGACTTTTTGTGCGTGTTGCATGTCTGTGTGTATAACTCGGAATCCTATTTTTCTCGATTATTGTAACATAACCATTTTCCCATGTTCCTGAAATTTTTCATAAACGCAAATTTTATATATACATCCTTGTTGAAAATCTCAAGAAATCTGGGCACTCCTAATATGGATAACTTACATTTCTCAATTGCCTTTGGGAGTTTTCATTAATGTGAATCAGTGTCAACATTCAGAACCTCCCACTTTCCGAAGAACTTGCCAACATGGATTAAGTCTATATTATGTTTAGGGTATAATACATGGCATTTGTCCCAAAAAATTACCGCGTTTAATCCCCACAACAGCTTGAGGTAGATATTGTAATTATTTTAGACAAGAGAGCAGAGATTCGAAAGGTTCAGGCAGCTCATAAATGATAAAAGTTGGTGTCTGGACCCAGGAAACTGGATTTCAGGTTCCTTCTCTCTGCCAAAGATGCTGCCAGTGTTATGGAATTTTCAGGGACAGCTTTCCTGAACTCCAGGGCACATTCACTAATCATGGTACTCCCCAGCAGCGTAGCTGGATCTTGGAGCAGAAAGGTGAAGATGATGGGGTTCCTGCACTCCAAAGTCTTTGTGCAGAGAACACAGCAAAGGTAGCTCTGCTACCCAAGTGCCCTTCCAGCAGATCGGACAACGTGCAGTGGCAGCCAAGGGAGCCTGGGCAGGTCTCAGAAGGCACCACTGAGCCGAGAAGGACCACAGAAGGCAACCAAGGGAAGGCGACAGAGCCCGCAGGCCGGAGAAGCCACCAGAGGCAGCTCCTGGGACGTGTGTGTGCCTGGGGCGTGGGAAGGCTGGGCACTCTGCACAGAATGGTGTCACAGGTGGGCAGGGGTGCAGGACAGCGCTCTCGCATGTCACCCTAAGGAGTGAGGAAAATTCCAGGATGGCACAGTCACTCTGTGCCGAGGATCCTAGCACTGCCACCACCCACGGGGATCATCGGACTTCTACTCTTCAGATCAACAAATAGACCGTCAAACTCGGTTGAGAGAAACTTCCTCCTCCACAAGCAGGAGGAAGCAAGGAAGCAGATGTCCACGGTGCACTTAATTCTGACCAAAAAATAACTGGTGGCAGACATGGAAGCGACAGGGAGCTAGGGAGGTCAATGAGGGAACCTTACGAGGTCTCCTTTGGTGCTCGCAGTCTGCTTTTGATGGCTGCCCCTGGGGAGTCCTCACGTGGACAGCACTACATCAAGACCTTTATAAGGTGGGGGTTATCCCCATTTTTAGATAGGGCCAGGAGCTCAGGAAAAGTAGAGTGTGCCCAAGGAGACACAGCACGTGAGTGGTGGGGTCAATATAACCAGAATAGACAAAGCCACAGATGTCAGAACATTCCAATTCCAATGGCCAGCTGCCTGAAGGGTAACGAGAGGCCTGGGCTGGCGGGGGTGTGCATGTGACAGAAATCAGGGAACTCTGGGTCCAGAGCTGGAGAAAGGTGAACTCGGAACGCTGCCCTGGAGAACTAGCTGTACCTGGGCAGGTAGGGGTGGGGGTCACTCAGGTGAGAGGTGAGATTGAAGGCTGGTGTGTCTGGCAGATGCACCTGTGATGGACTGAACGCGGGAGAAGCTGGAGAAGGGGAGGCTGCCTGGTGGGCAGCTGTCTTCAGCCTGGATACAGTGATGAGCCGGAGAGTGAAATAGTGAAGAGCAAGTGGAAGACAAGGGTAGGAGAGGGTTCAATGGAAGAAAGAACAGGCTCTTGGACTAGGGGTCCCTGTCCACAGGACAACTGTCCCCTGCCAAGCCAAAATCCAGAACTCGGAATATATGGGCCTAAGGGCAGTGGCAAAAGTAAGAAGTCTGGGACACATAGAACAAAAGAAAAAAGAAACAAACTGGACATCATCAAAATTAAAAACTTTTGTGTTTTGAAGGACGTCTTCAAGAAAGTAAAAAGACAAGCCACAAATGAAAAAATTTTTATAAATCATATAATCTGATATGGGACTTGTATATAGAAAGTATAAAGAACTCTTAAAACTTCAGTACTTAAAAATACAAATAACCTAATTAATAATGGGTAAAGGATCTGAAGTCGGTTTTCCTAAAAAGACATACAAATGGCGAACATGAAAAGATGCTCAATACCATTAGGCATCAGGGAAATGCAAACTGAAACCACAATGAGATATCACCCCCACTAGGATGGCTAAGTTAAAAGGCAGACAATAACAAATGCTGACAAGAATATAGAGGAATTGGAACCCCCATACACGGCTGGTAAGAATATAAAATGGTGCACCCATATTGGAAAACAGCCTGGCAGTCCCTCCAAAGGTTAAATCCAGCCAGTCTACTCCTAGGAATATACCCAAGAGAATGGAAAACTTATGTCCACACAAAAACCTATACACAGATGTTCACAGCAGCGTTATTCATAATGGCCAAAAAAGTGGCAACAATCTAAATGTCTACCAACTGAAGTATGGATAAATAAAATGTAGTCTATGCATACAGCAGAATACTATCCGATAATGAAAAGGAACAAAGTCGAATACATGCTACAACATGGATGAACTTTTGCTTTCAAGAACACTGAAAGGAAAATGTCATAAGAAAAAGTGGGCTTCAGCTCAAATATCATTTTCATTTTTGTAAAAAGGGGCCTAGGCTATCCAAATTATCCTGTAAAAAAAAAACAAAACTCTTCCAACATCTAAGTTGGAAATAAAAAACATTTAAAAAAGTTTATTATAACTAACAAAATAATTTCAGGTTAAGAGAATTATGTAGAAATATTAGATGGGCTAGATAAATACTTTATTGTCAACAGTCCACACTGGCCTCAGATGTGTTTGGCTTCAAAGTGCTTTGAGCTTTTCTGAGCCTGAGCGGCATTAGCCGGGCCTGCTCACCGTCTGCCCCCCGTTCTCACACGCCCAACCTGTCTGCCTTGACTCAATGGCGTTTCCTACCACGTCCCTCCCATGGCCCCTATCAATGTACACATTACACTTATACCCAATTTATAGTGTGGGATGATCATTTCTGTTTAAAACGTCTGTTTCTGTGAACTGGGGGGCACAGGCAGGAGAAAGGACGTGAGCCCGTGGTCAGGAACGTGCCCCGCTCCAATGAGAACATTGCTGCTACAGAAAAACATTTCCTTTTACAATGCTGTCCCGGGACACGGTGAGCTGACCATTAAAATGTACCTGTAGGCATGCGTGAGAAAGAAAAGATGGAGGTACAAGTCTGTAGGCATGGCAGAGGGACGAGCAATCAGGATGAACACACAAAAGCAGCAGAGAAAAGATGAGCAGGCTGACTGAGCACAGACGAGAGGGCTCTCTCCCGTCTCCCTCCAGGTGTCCGTCTCCCCACCCTCACCCTCACCCCCACCCCCAGACTGCACCCTCTTCCTTCCCTTCATATCTTTGTAACAGTGACCAGAGGAATTGCCTCCACAGCAATTACAGAGGCACATCTCCCAGTCCTGCTATCTTGTTTACAGGCGAGGAAACTAAGGACCAGAGAGGGAATGGGTCTAAAGCCATGGTTTTATTTATTTTTTTTAGCTGAGCCATCCTGCCACCTGTTGGCAGTTCAGTGGCTGCGACTCGAACCGCTGTTGCTCAGAGCTCACACTCTTGAGCGAGCTCTTAACCATCTGAGCCACTGGCAGGCCCCTAAAGCCATGGTTTTAAAATTGTGTTTCTTAAGTGCTCTGGAACCCTCTCTTCAGGGGACATCATCCCAGATGTGTAAATAGACAAATCAGAACTCATCTGATGGCAGCCTTGCCTCTAGCCCTTAGGGGCCCCAGGGAGGCTCTCTGAGGCAGTTTTAAAATACTGGTTTCAAGTGACAGATAAACTGAGCCTTGGTCATGCCCCAAAGCCATGGCCACGGCCCTGTATTAACTATGTCTTATTATTTTCTGTATTCTCGATACTCTGCATCTGGAGCTCATTGACCACAGGGAACTGCCCCGCTCAGGGCTAAACTAACCAATCCTAAACCTATCCGCCCAATACCTGTCTCATCTGTCGCTTCCGATGAAAACCACAACAGTCTCTCGTCCATGCTCTCCCCTTACTCCGTGCCTCCTAGGGGACCTGGTGCTTCCCTGTGTGCCCTCCCCCCCCCACCCCGGCCACCCCATAGCAGGGCCCCTCCTCTTGGAAGCTCTAAGTAACAAACTCTTTTCAGTGGCAGTTGTCTCCTGGTCTGTTGGCCTCACTTTACCTTGATAGTAATAAAACCTACATTTTAAAACAGGCCTATTCGAAAGGTAAACGTTATCCCCAGAAATCCTGGAATTAGGATTCAGAAAATTCACATCGAGAAGATGGCACGACTCTGGGGAGAGCCAGGCCGCAAGCTGCCTCCTGGAGGGCTTTCAAATGCGGGTAGAGAAGGGACCAAAAATCAAGAGGGAGGCTTGGGCCCTGGAGCCATGGAGAAGGACCAGACTGGTCAGTAGCAAGATCCTGGCAAGAAAGCAGGCGGTAGAGGTGCCTAGGCGAGCGTGGGCTTTAGGAAGAGGTACAGAAAGAAAGCAAAGCCACAGCACAAGGCCTGGACAGCGTCTGGCAGGCTCCAGGCCAGCCTCAGCCATCTAGCTCCTCCTTGACAGTGATGCGCAGGGGGCAGATGCGCAGAGGATCGGGGCGGCCTTCCCCTTGTGTGCCCCCCACGTAGAAGTAGGGCCGCACTTCCCCAAAGCGGGCGTGGAAGGTGTAGAGGTGGCAGTGGCGCTCGGCGTCATAGAAGGACAGCTCACCCTCCTCGCACTCCAGCTCCACACGCAGACGGCGTGGGATGGCGGGGACCAGGGGTGACGTGGTGGGGTCTGAGGTCACGCAGTGGTCTCCTTCTATCCCCTGTGTGCGGCACACGTACCAGAAGCCCGAGCGAGTGTCGTGGTAGCAGCTGTGCGAGTGGCCCTCGGCGCTGGTGTCCTCGCGCATGCGCATCACACCCACCCGCCAGCTGGGCAGGGACCCCAGGTCCACTTCCCAGGCGTGGGAGCCGTGGGAGAAGGCCCGCGAGCCTAGCAGGCAGGGCGCCGAGGAGAAACGCTCCGGGTTCTCCACCTGCACACGGTAGCCGTGGTTGGTGACTTTGGTGAGGTCATCTGACACAGAGAGCCAGCCAGCCGCAGTGTTGAGATCAAAGCTGAAAGGCACTAAGAGTAGAGAGGGAAATTGGGGGAAAATCAGTGAACCTCACATCCTGACCTCTGCCACACAGCTGATGCCCCAGTCCCCCAGACTGACTAAAGGTGTCTCAACTAATGCCCCAGTGCAGGGAAGGAGCTGTCCTGGGCCGAGGGACTGTGTTACAGGTTGAAATGTGCCCCGCCAAAAAAGATATGTGCAAGTCCTAACCCCCAGTACCTCACAAGGTGACCTTATTTGTTTCAGATACAATTACACTAAAGTAGAGTGGAACCTCTATCCAATGACTGACTGTTGTCCGTACAAAAAGAGCACACAGACCCAGGGGAGAAGGCCACGTGACCACGAAGGCAGAAATCAAAGGGCTGCAGCCCAGCCCAGGATTGCGGGCAACCACCAGAAGCTAGGAAGAGGCAAAAAAGGGTCTTCCCTTATAGCGTTCAGAGGATGCATGGCCCTGCTGACACCTTGATTTTGGACTTCTAGCCTCCAGAAGTGTGAGAATAAAAGCCTGTCATTTTAAGGCATCCGGTTTGCAGTCCTTTTTGAGAAGAGCCACAGGAAGCCAATACACATCACGCCTGATGCTCACATGGCTCCCAGGCCATCTTAGAAAAGCTCAGAACATTCCCTGGGTCACTGACACTCCTCCCTGTAAAACCACGATGTCTCAGTCAGTTTGGGCAGTTACAAGAAAAGTACCATAGACTGAGGGGCTTAAACAACAGAAATTTAGTTCTCACAGTTCTGGAGGCTGGAAGTCTGAGGTCAGGGTACCAGTATGGTTCAGTTCTGGTGAGGACCTTCTTTTTGGTTTACAGATGGGCACCTTCTTGCTGTCAGAAGATAGAGAGGAAGCCAGCTCCCTTGGGTCTCTTTTAAGGGCACTAATCTCTCATAGGGCCCCACCTTCCTGACCTTATCTGACCCTAATCACCTCCCAAAGGCCCTGCTTCCAAATACCATGGTTGGGGGGTTGGGCTTCAGCATATGAATTCGGAGGGACACAAGACATTCAGTCCATAGCACATAACATAGTGACTCGTGCGGGCTGGAATCCCCCTAGGAGAGGTGATCCTGGACTGAGGAGGTCTTTCATTATATACGCAACATGGTTCTGAATAGGGAGGGGAGTGAGTTTCTCTTTCTGAAGAGGAGGCCAAGTTTCAGGACCCAAAGAGGAAGTTCTGCCAGGAGGGGTTCGATCAGTGGGGCAAGGAATGGAGGAGGAGCAGGGCTCTGGGGCCTGTCTGAATGAAGCTGGGAAAGGGGTGATTGGAGGGACAAGTTCTGACGGGGTGGGAGGCTGGAAAAAGTGTTCAGCTGGCTCTCTGCCTCTCTGCATAAAGCACTCTCCCCCTCCCCCCCGCCTGTATCACCTGCCTGTGCCCCCACTAACCAGACTGAACAGACATGACCATCTTCCTCCAGACGCGGTACTGCAGGGAGTCCAGGTGCTTGCAGACATCAATGAGCATGCCGTGCTGCACGGGCTCTGGCTCCATGGTACAGAAGAGGCTGGGAAAGGAGAAGTGTCCTGGGGGCAGGGCCAGGGCCATGCATCCCGGGACTTACTGGGTCAGCTGGATTTAACGGACAACAGGACTTGTTCCCTTGCCTCAGGCCTAATTTCCCTGGCCGCCTTTCCCAAGACAAACGCAGACTGGGCTCTGATGGGAGATGAGCCAGGAATACCCTCATACCCCTTCAGGATTCAGTCCTCGGACTCACCCTGCCCTAGCAGGGATAAATATGAACAGGAGACTCTCGGCCATGATTCCCATTCTTGTGGACAGAAATCACACTTACACATCTGCACATAGGATGTCTGAGTCGGAAGGAACCTTAAGGGTTATCCAATCCAACAGTCTGAAGGTGTCACTGGCCTTTGCTTGAACACCTCCAGTGACAGGGAACTCGCTATTGCTCAAAGCACTCTCTTCCATCTTTGTGCAGCTCTGACTGGGACACAGTTCTTCTTATCCATCCCTGTGAACCCAACAACCATCAACACAAACTAGTATATGTCCTGAGGCTCTCAGAAGGAGGGGGATGAGTAAAAAACAAGCCAAAATGTTGGGATAACCCACCGAGAACTATAAGCCATATGCAGGATGGCACACTCTCCATGCTCAGGAAAACAGCACTGCAGCAATGGGATGCCTTGAAAGAGGGCTCTCTCCCTTGGCTGGTCCCCATCACTCCCTCTGTATTACGCCCAGCTGGCTTCATTACCTGCCTGGCCCTGGAGCCACTGGAGTTTGCACTCCTGGTATTTCTGCCTGCTCTTTCCCTCCCCTCCGTCAGCCTTGGCAACTTACCGGCGCTTTCGGCTCTTATGTTTCTGAAAGAGAAAAAAATCACAGAGACAACATATAAATTTTTGAACTCAAAAGGAGCCGTACTTCCCATGTTCATGGACCAGAAGACCTAGTAGTCTTAAGATGGCCATACCCCCTTAACTGATCTACAGATTCAATGCAATTCCTATCAAAATTCCAGCTGGCTTCTTTGCAGAAACTGATGAGCTGATCCTAAAATTCATATGGACATTCAAGGGATCTAGAATAGCCAAAACAGCCTTGGAAAAGAACAAAATTGGTGGCTCACATTCCCCCATTTCCAAACTTACTAAAAGCAACAGTAAACAAGATAGTGTGGTACTAAGGACAAACATATGGATCGACGAACACTGAAAGCCTAGAAATAAACCCTCACATTTACTGTCAATTGGTTATCCACAAGGGCAACAAGGCCATTCAATGGGAAAAGAACGGTCTTCAACAAATGGTGCTGGACAACTGGCTATCCACATGCAAAAGAATGATCTTGCGCCATATACAAAAATGAACTCAAAATGGGTCAAAGGCTTAAATGTAGAGACAAACTATAAAACTCATGACCATGGATTAGGGTATGGTTTCTTAGATATGACACCAGAAACACAAGCAGGAAAAGAAAACATAAACAGGGCCAGCTGAGTGGCGCGATGGTTAAGAACTGGCTTAGGACGCCAGAGGGCCCCGGTTCAGATCCCACATATGAGGGCCAGTGACACTGCCCTCCACAGCTAAGATGCTGAACAACAGCTCAACCTGGAGCTGGGCTGCCTAGAGTCGCCTGCGACGGCATAGGCTGCAGCCCCTGTGGCAGTGGGTTGCCATGGGCTACCATGTGTAGCCAGCAGCCAGCGTAAGCGGCCAGCAGCCAGCGTGAGCAGCCAGCAGCCGCAGTGAGCAGCCGTCCAGAAGACGGCGACTGATGTGCCTCGTCTGGGAAGAGGGTGATGATGGTGCCAACTTGGGCCAGTGAAGCAACGTCCTCCACAACTAGACTGAAGAACAAAAAGACAGCAACTTGTCTGTTCCCCTTTCCTCAACTCCCCAGCGCTGTTCCCATCCCCCCAATTCCCCGATTTAAAAAAAAAAATCTTAAAAAAAAACAAAACATAAACAGGATTTCATCAAAATGAAAAACTTTTGTCTTTCAAAGGATGTCATCAAGAAAATGAAAAGCTAACTCACAGAATATTAGAAAATATTTATAAATCATATTGCTGATAAAGGTCTAGGATCCAAAATAAATTTTAAAAATCTTACAATTGAACAACAAAAAGACAAGCAACCCAATTTTAAAACTGGCCAAAGGGCTTGAATGTACATTCCCCCAAAGATATACAGATGGCCAACAAGCACATGAAAAGATGTTCAACATCATTAGTTATGAGGAAAATGCAAATCAAAACCACAATGAGATAACACCTCCCATCCATTATATGGCTATAATAATAATTTAAAAAAACAGATAAGTGTTGGCGAGGCTGTGGAGAAACTACAACCCTCACACACTACTAGTGGGAATGTAAAATGTAAAAACGCTCTTGGAAAACAGCCTGGCAGTTCCTCAAATGGTTAAACCTAGAATTACCATATCATCCACCATATCTACTCCTAGGTACATTCCCAAGGGAGCTGAGAACATGTGTCCACACAAAAACTTGTGCACAAATGTTTATGGCAATATTATTCATAATGGCTAAAAAGTGTAAACAATCCAAATGTCCATCAATTGATGAAGGGATAAAGAAAATGTAGTATATATCCACTCAATGGAATACTGTTGAGCCATGTACCGATATATAGTACAACATGAAGTTTCAAAGCATTACGGCTAGTCATAAGAGGCTACATCGTGTATAATTCCATTGTACAAAATGTCCAGAATAGGCAAATCTATAGAGACAGAAAGTAGATTAGTGATTCCTGAGGGCTGGTGCGGATGACTGTATAAGAGGGTGATAGCTAAAGGGTTTCTGTTGGTGAAGATGAAAATGTTCTAAAATTGACTGTGATGACTCTATGAATATACTGGGTCGTCGGGAAAGTCATGATGCATTTTTTGCATTGAAAAACATAGAAAAATACGTCATAACTTTCCCAAAGACCCAATACTACAAACCACTGTATTGTACATTTTAAATGGGTGAATTATATCTTTAAAAATTACGTGTGTGTGTGTGTGTGTGTGTGTGTGTGTATCTCCACCCAAGTGGATAAAATATAGATGCAACTTTCTTAGCACACATTTACAAGCTGAACTTTAGTCAAATCAGACAATCCCAGATTGGGGAACATTCTACAGGAGATGTCTGGCTGGTACGCCTCAGGACTGCCAAGGTCATGAAAAACAGAGAAAGAATAAGAAGCTGTCACAGACCAGATGAGACTGGGAGACGTGACAACTAAATACAATGTGGGACCCTGGACTGTAGACAGAGGACATTAATGGAAAACCTGGTGAACTCCAAATAAGTCTGGAGTTTAGGTAATTATAATGCACCAGTGTCGGTTTTCTAGTTTGGACAAATGAGCCACAAGGTAATGTAAGGTGTTAACAATGGGAGGAGCTAGGTATGAGGGATATACAGGAGCACTCTGCACAGATTTGCAACTTTACATAAATCTAAAATTAATCCAAAATAAAACATTTATGAAAAAAGTACTCCCTTGTATTAGGAAGGAACAGAGAGAAAAGAAACAAAAAAAAAGAGAGCAAGAGTGAGTGTAAGAGAAAGGGAGAGGGAGAAGGAAAGGAGAGGCAGAGAGAAGAGGCCCTCAAGGAACTCTGCTCTGACTGAAATCTTTTCGGCCTCTTGACCCAAGCAGAGGATGTGGTCTGTAAGATCCTCCAGCTCAGAATCTGAAAGCTACGTAAAGACAGGGTTGGCCAGGTCCACTGCTCCCCGGCTCCCCACTGGTTCCTGAATACCTGGTCTCTGTCACTGAATGATGGTGATGATGGTGAGCTCCTCACCATGAGAAAAGAAACATCATCTTCCTTCATCTCCATCTGCAGCCGCTTGATCTCATGGGCCAGAGCCTCCGTGTCTTCCGTGAGCCGCTTCATCTTCTCCTGGGCCAAGAGCTTCTTCTGTCTCGCCTCTTTGGCCAAGGCTTCCAGGACGGTATGCTCCTCCACTCTCAAGAACTCACGAAGCTTATCAAACTCCTGGCGGATTCGCCCTTCCAGCCAGGTAGCCTCCACCTGCAGCAGAGAGCAGGAGGGAGCCCAAGACCATCAGACATAGAGGAAACCTCAAGCCGTCAGCTAGCCCAGTGTCTCTCAGATTTTTAGCAAAGGAACTCGACTTTCCAAAAAAACTATGTGTAGAACCCAAGTGGATAAAATATATTAATAGATGCAGCTTTCTTAGCACACATTTACAAGCTGAGCTTTAGTCAAACAGCAGAATGAGGTTGTTTTGATTAATTTTTAAAACACTGAAATTGCTGCTTACACGTGGCAACTGTAGTCCTATAACTTCCTCAACATACAATATTCTGTATCTTGTTTAGGCTGCACAAGAGCACACATCCTGAATCACAGAAATGAACTGTTGCAAAGAGCAATGATTCTTAAAAATTATTTGCCTTCCAATCTTAGGACTTCATATTTGTCTGATTGAAAGGCTTACAAAAAGAGTAGTAGGAAGTATTTATTTTAAAACAGAACCACTGGGGACGTCCGAGTGGTGTGTTGGTTAAGAGTTGGCTTGGGAGCACGAGCTCTGAGCAGCAGGGCTGCCAGTTCAGATCCCACATGGGCCAGTGACACTGCGCCCTCTACAGCTAAGATGGTGAACAACAGCTCGACCTGAAGCTGGGCTGCTGTGAGTCACCGGTGACCCTATAGGCTGCAGTGGGGCTGCAGTGGGCTGCCGTGAGCTACCATGAGTGGTCGGCAGCCAGCATGAGTGGCCAGCAGCTGGTGACAGCTGCTGTGAGCCGCCGTGAGCAGCCGTCCAGAGGCCAGCGACCGATCTGCCTCAGCCAGGAAAAGCGCAATGATCACAAAATACCAACATGGGCCAGTGAAGCGACATCCTCCACAACTAGACTGAAGAACAAAAAAGGACAGCAACTTGTCTGTTCCCCTCCCCTAATTCCCCAATAAAATCTTTAAAAAAAAAGTTTATTTAAAAAAATAAAATAAAATAAAATGGACTCTTTAATAATATGCATACTCCTAATCAAAACTACAAAAAGCTTTTAAAAAGTTAAAACAAAACTACAAGCGTACTCAAAGAAAGAGCAGAAAAATATTCCTCACCTTGGAGTGAGAAAGACCTTTCTTACCAAGATATGAAACAGAGACCTCAAAGAAAGAACGTGATAACTAAATACATATAAAACTAAGTTTTGTATGGCAAGAGACCACTAATAATTACATACATAAATATAAGTCCATGATGACTGCTGGAAAAATACCTCGAAATGTGTGCTCTATCAATGGCAGGTTAGGAATCCACATCTTTGGATTGAAAATTCAATATATGTGTATGGCTCTGACAATATGATGATAAAATAATTCAATGAAAAAGTGAAACATATCTATTTGCTGGTCTATAAAACATGAGAAATGAATGACTTCTCTCATGGGTACTTCCCAAGCATTATCTCATCTGAACATGTAAAAAAAAAAAAATCCCAGTAAGAGGGAAGTGTCCTCTTTTCACAGATGAAGAGTTAGCTTGAAGGGGTGAGGGATCGGCCTGGAGAACAAGCTTGGATCTGAAAATAGGGCTGCTTTGAGGTCACCACCCTGGCCACCAACACTCCACAATCCTTCCTTCTGCGCCGTTCCACCAGCTCTGCCCTTGGTCAGATGTCACTGAGGCTCTTTCCCAAGACTAATCCTCTCCCATGGACACCAGACACTGGAGGGCCCTAGCTGACTCTTTAGGGGAGGGCCAGGCAGCTGAGTCAGGTGTGTCTTAGCTGAGGCTGTGATGAGTCCACCAGCAGTTCCTAGAATCACTAGCCCAGGAAGTGATGGAGCAAAGCCAGGAAAGCCAGTCAGAAGCCAGGCTGCCAATCCACACAGAACTCAGATGAAGGGAGGGTGCCAAGTTATAACCAAGAGATTGGGGAAAGAGGGAGCCAATGCATTCATTCAGTCAGCAAACGTTTATTGGTCACCTATTGTAGCAAGAGTTCTTTTAGATACTAGTGGCCCTGCTTTCATTATATTCTAATGGGACGATTTAAAAAATAGAAAACAGAATAGTTAATTACAGGTAATGGAGTGTTATGGAGAAAATAAAACGAAGATATGAGTAAAAGAGGAGAGCTACTTTGGGTATGGTGATCAGGGACATTTCTCAGAAGGGACATTTGAGCTGAGATTTTAATAACAAGATACTGAGCATGGGAGGATCTGTGGAGAAGACTTCGCTCATTTAAGAGACAGAAAGAAGGCCAGGATGGTTGGGCCAGCCTGGGAGGAGGTGAAGTTGAGGGGCAGGCAGGGGTTGGATGAGGGCCTCAGAGGCCATGGTGAGGGATCTGGATTGCATTGTGTGTGTCATGGAAGCCACTGGACAGTTGTAAGCAGAGAACTGACTTTTCTAAAAGATAAGTCCACTCTGTAGAGAGTACAGAACAAGAGTGCGGCCCACGTAGGAGGCCAGGTGAGAAACAATAGTGACCTGAACCAGGATGGTGGCAGTGGAAATGGAGTGTTGGATGGACATGATGCATTTTGCAGACAGAGGGGACAGGATTCTAGGTGGGTATGGGGATGAGAGAGAAAGAGGAACAACTAACGAGCCTCAGGTCATCATTGGCTTGAGCACCCAGGTAGATGGAGAAGTGCGACACGTGCGAAAGTTAGTCCAAAACCTTAGTGCAGATGGTGCAGGTGGCTTTTTAATCCGCTCCTACGGCTGCTGCATGGCCATGCCCAGGTACTTAAATAGGCCATGGCAGTGCAGCCACGATCAGCGTATGAGCGCATGGCTGTGCTCTCAGGGCTAAGGAAGGCTGACTCTGTGTCAACAGCCACAGCCAAGGCCAGCCGACCCTCGCCGACCCCAATGGCCCTGGGTGCCCCCAGTCTTCCACTTAGCCTGAGTACGCACTCACCTCATTGTGCTTGATGATGGCCTCGTAGGAGCGTCTCATAGCCCAGAAGGCTTTGGCTTTCTCCCCCAGCGCGTGCTCCATGTTCCTGCACTTGGCCTGAGGGGAGGAAAGAAAGGGAGGCAAGGAGGCAGGTTAGGGCTGGAGGTCAGGCAGGGAGGATGACACCACACTTACAACTGGAGTTCCACTTCTATAAGGGTGTAACTCAACTACAGTTACTGAACCAGGTCCGCCCACACACTGCAGGGCATAGCCAGAAGGTAAGTACAGCCCTGACTTTGAGCCTGACATTTATAGCATAAAGGGCCCTCAGATATCCTTTAACCCAGCAACTCCGTTTTATACCTGCTACAGATGGGCAGACAGGGCTCAGGAGGCCAGCGGACCTGTTCCCTTTTGAGCTGGTCACAGTATAGCACAGAGGGGCATCCTGCTCAGACCTAAGGCTGGGCCAAGCGGGGCCACGAATCCTGAGCTGCGCGTATACCTGTAAAGTTGATGTGCTCACAGACTCCCTTGGCAACTTTCTAAACTGGACTTGCCTGCAGTCACTAACCAACAGGCATGATTACAGGGTTCACCCAGTTATTCCCATGGGGCCTTATCTAAACTACATGTCTCCCCACAGCCCGACCGTATCCCAGTATTCTAATAGTGCTTGGATCATGTGAAATACTTTCATCAGCAGGTTCAAATACCTTTTCTTTAGTAGTTGTTGTTTTCTAAACTTTAACCACTGCTCTGATCTCCATGGACTCCTTGAAGAACCACAACTAGTTTTAGGTTGAATTCTGACCTTTTGTATCCAAGGCCTAGCATTTTCTCTCCAGTCCATGAGGACCTGAACCTGCCAGCAGCCACCTGAATAAGCTTGAATGGGGATTTGGCCCACTTGAGTCTACAGTTGAGACTGCAGCCCCAGCAACACCTTGATGGCAGCATCGTGAGACCATGGGGCAGAGGCACCCAGCTAAGTCATGCCCAGATTCCTGACCCAAAGAAACCATGAGATTTTTTTGTTGTTGTTTTAAGCCACTATGTGTAATTTATTGCACAGCAACAGGTAACTAACTACTAGCCTATGTGTCTGTCCTCTTCCATAGCCCGTTCTTTTAACTGATATACCACAGAAAAGAAAATCATGAGTGATTTCATTTTCTGCAGGTTTTGTTTTCTACTCATTCTGGTCATTTTTATGTTCTTCTTGAGACTACTTAACAATTTTTTTTTAAACACTGTTTTCTGTAGTGTGTCATCTCTAAGGTATGTCTCCTCAATAGCAAAACAGCATTAGTATGAGCATCCCACAAGACCACTGAAATATCATCCTCGTGTTTTATTTTGTGGGATGAGATATTTTGTTACAAAGTCACATAATAAAGTCCAAAAGGACAATCCCTTGATTCGCCAAGTAAGTGTGAATGATAGGAGTGAGGCAACTGCCCACATGCATTACCCAGGGGTGTGCTGGCCCCAAAACAACACAGCCGGACCCTCTGCCCTTCCACCTTGACAGTGATGGAGTTATGAAGATACATAGGTGGGGGTGGCAGTCCCTTCTCCTTCCCAAACTTTTCAATCGCTTAGAGAGTTCTGGTTTAATTCAGCAAAGACCAATCCTAAAATGGCCCTTCTCTGAGATGTCAGCTGGTGAGATCAACCAATGACTACTACATTATAACACTAGCAAGCAGTTATTACTGAGCATGTACTATGGACAAGGCACTCATTAAGCACTTTACAAACATTATTTTACTTAATTCTTGCATGCCTGTGAGGTAGGCCCTGTGTTCCTCATACAGAGGAGAAAACAAGGCCCAGAGGAGTTAAGTAACATGTCAGAATTACAGACAGCAGCAGAGCCAGGATTTGTACTCAGAACTGTCCAGTATTGAAGACCATGTTCTTAACCACAACATGACATACCAATTTCAATTGTTTCTCTTTTTCCAAACCTATACCTTTTATTTATGATTCCTGACTTGCTTTATTAGCTAGGATCTCCAGTACAAAACTGAATAGCACTGGTTACAATGTGCGTTCCAGTCTTTTTCCTGATCTCAATAAGAAAGCTTTCAATGTGTCACCAGTAAATATGGTATTTCCTTATGAAGTTTTTTAGATGCTCTTAATCAGATTAAGGAAGTTCCTTCCATTCCTAGTTTGCTAGTTGTTGGTTTGTTTTTTTTTTCATCCCCAAAAGATACTGAATTTTATCAAATGCATTTTTTTCCTATTGACATAATCATATTTAAATGGCACAGAATTGAATTTTGTTTCTGATCCCCTGGCAACTTCTGTCATTGGACTGGAGTATTTAACATAATTACCAGTATATGTGCATTTAAACTTACATTCTTGTTCTGCGCTATTTGTCTGGCTTGTTCAATATTTCTTTTTCTGGCCTTTCGTGTCTTTTTTATTTTTAATTTACTATACATTTTTTTACTCCACTTTTTTCTTTCTGCATGTAGTGGTTCACCTAGAAAATACTACATTAAAAAGTGTGAATTCAAATGAATCCAAACAATATACTTTTCATGTTTGCTTTTGATATTCTAATTTTAACAGTACGCATATTTGTATCACAATTAGACCCACCATTCAGGGACATAATGCCAACAGGTAGCCCAAGGAGTGCCTGAATGAACAGAGGCTGCAGGGTCACTAGTGAGGTCTGTAGTGTGAAGCTCAGTCAGGACTAAATAATATGGGGACATCACTGCCCTGGGCGGAGCTAAGTGGCCCATGACACACCTGGAACATCACCCAGGCCCCAAGCCCCAAAGAACAAATGAGCTCTGACTTTGTTATCAAATTATAACATTCAAGATTACTTATTACACACAAACATAAAATATGAAGCTTTTATTTTACACTGAAGGATTCAGAATGTGATATCTACATTCTGTTTTTTTAATTACAATTTGATTCCTTACGCAGCAAATTTCAATACCATATTTAATACCCTAAGGATTTTACAAAATTGTATTACCCCAAATATCTGTTCACACAGGTGCTATGTGGCATAACAGAAAGTGGGAAGGGTGCAGGGAAGAGAAAGAATAGTATTTTCCAAAATAGTCATAGCACCCTTGCAAGTACTAGTCATGACTGAAGTCAGGGATGCCGGGCCCAAACCAGGTTTCCTGTCTCCTGAGGCCTTACATACGTTGCTTCTGACCGATCTCCACCTGCTTCACCCAACTATCCCAACATGGCCTTGAAAACTCAGCTCCGGAGCCCCTCCATTTCTTCCAGGAAGCCGGCTTGATCTCCCAGGAGAGATCAGGTGCACCTCCCGGGCTCTCACAGCTCCCCAGTACACCTCTATCAGCCCACTTACTACCCTGGATCATCATCTCCCTTTCCTGGGAAGGCTGCAGGCTTCCTGGGGGCAGGTCCTAATGCCCAGGTCCTTTCACCTACCACAGTCGTGCTCAGTAAACATTTGCAGAAGGCTTGCTCTGCAGGAGTAGAGACTGTTTTTCCCACTGCATATCCCCAGGTCTTAGCACAAAGTAGATGCTCAGCTAACTGCTTGCCAAGGGAATGAATGCACCGCAGGCCAAATTCTCTCCACTATGCCACATCGCCTCCTGGACTGAAAGTTAGGAGGCTGATTTGTACCCATTTTTGTCACTAGCCACTTTGGCAAAAGCCCCTTCTCTCTCTGTGGCTGTCAGGCTCCTCATCTTTAAGATGAAGGTGTAAAAGTTCCTACGGTGTCTGATTTCACTCTGAAAATGAAGAGTGTGGTTTTCTCTGTCTGTGCTAACCTGGACCATCACCAGGATTTCCTTACATCTGTCTCTAGTTCATGTCTTTTTTTCCCTATATACCTCAAACATTTGATTTCAGGCAGAGTTCATGCAGCTAAGAACACTGGTGCCTGGCCACCCAGGGTCAAATCCCAGCTCTTCCACTTAGTAGCCAGTGATCTTGACCAAGTTCCTTGACTTCTTTGTACCTTTGGGATGAGAACACTACCTAGCTCATAGGATGGCTATGAGGATCCAAGTCAACCCATGTCAAGTGTTTATAAGAGTGCACCAGGCCTGTGTTGGCTCTTATTACTATTCAGTGCCACTTAGTGCCAGGTAGCTTACCTCTCCTACTGGTTATTTTCCAGGTTTCTTTTTTTTTTTTATTGAGATGTAACTGACGTATAACATCATCTTAATTTCAGGTGTACAACATAATGATTCGATATTTGCAAATATTATGAAATGATCACCACATTAAGTCTAGTTAATGTTCATCACCATCAAGTTAGAAACTTTCTTTCTTGTGATGAGAACTTTTAAAATTTATTCTCTCAGCAATTTTCAAATATGCAATACAGTATTATTAACTATGGTCGCCATGCTGTACATTCCATCCCCATGACTTATTTATTTTACAACTGGAAGTTTGTACCTTTTGGCCACCTTCACCCATTTCAGTCACCGCCCGTGCACCCCACCCCAGCTTCTTATCCTAAATGGGCAGCATAAATGCACCTGAGACAACTTGATCTCGTCCAGATCCTTCTTATCCAATTCTAATCCAGTCTCCCCGTGCTTCCTTTCCCATTGGCGCTCAGCCCTCCTTAGGAAGGAAGCAGGTGTCTACGTCTCGTGCTGTGCCCTGTAACTCAGGAGCCTCCGTGAGCAGTGTTTGGTAAATCCTATCCTGTCCTGGGCACGTGCCTCACCACGCAGGCAATGAACGTCCTCCAGCCACCTGGATCTGGTAGGGCCTGGCCTACAGGGGGGCATCTGGGGTGGGGGTAGGTAGTTAGCAAACAGGGGGAAAGAGCTGGAAGGAGGAAGATATAAGAGGTGCCTGGAAGGGGCAGGGGCAGGACAAGGCTGAAGGGCAGAAGATGGCCCTCGTGTCAGTCCCGTGGGGTGTTATAAAGGGGTCTCCACAAGGCAGGTCAGAGGCCTGGGTCTTGGTGCGGGTTCAGGGTAGGTTTGCTTTGGAGATAAAAGCCAGAGCAGATGCTAGACTGGGGAGTCAGGAGACCTGAGTTCTAATCCCAAGTGTTCTACTTTCATTTCCTGTGATTGACATGAGTCGCTATATTTCTCCAAGTTTCCAATTTTCTCATT